GGTGGAGATGTGGGAGAAGTCAACCATGGCCTTGTGGCAGTTGATGGTTGTGATTGGGAGCTGCCCTGCCCAGATGATGGCATGATCTTTGAGGAGGACATTGTGATCCTTGAGGATGAAGTTATCAAAGAGCCAATGGGTAGAATGGTGCAGCAAGTTCCCCATGTTTCCATGCCGGCAGGTTGCCAAGAGATGTTGATGGAGTTCTTTTCACCTCCAAGAATTGTCCCTGTTTGCCAGTCACGAGGCTGGCCAGCTTCTTGCAGCTGGGACATTACCCATGGATGGGATGCCAACAACCCGCACGACCGTCAGCGGTCATTCCAAGCTCTAGATGAGTTGGACCCTCTCATGACTACTTTGAGCCCTGAGTGCACAATGTTCAGTGTGATGCAAAACTGCAACAAGAAGAAGGTGGACCCCCGTGTGTTTGCAAGACGTTTGGCAGAAGCTGTGCAACACATGAACCTCTGTGCAGATATTTGCAAGCGTCGTGCTCATAGAGGGAGGTACTACCTCTTGGAGCACCCATCGGGTGCTTCATCGTGGCATTTACCTTCAATCGAAGAGGTCAGAAGCATGCTTGGTGCTTACTTGGTGTCGTTCCCTCAATGCCAGTATGGCTTGAAAGCCCCAAATGGCAAGCCAATGCGCAAGCTGACGCGATTCCTCACCAATTCGAGACATGTTGCAGAAGAGTTCTCCAAGAAGAAATGCACATGTGCAGAGCACCAACCCATTGAAGGTTCCTGTCAAGGACACAAACTTTCAAAGTGGGCTCAGGTCTACCCTCAGCCCTTGATCAATGCCATTGTTGACTGCTGTGAGCGTGAGCTTCGGGACCAGTAGTCTTGCAGGCTACTTTGTGTTCAGGCTTGCGATGGTCAGGCAATACCAAACTTGGTACAGTAGAAGACTTGGGGAGTTTCAGAAAAAAGGTGTGAATGCTCCAAGGTTTTGAAAGAGTGAATCAAAAGAAGACGGGCCCAACAACCGCCTTGTGAGCTTAGACATGGAGTTGTGAGCCTAGACATGGAGTTGTGAGCTTAGACTGGCTGTCACAGCGACATGGCTTTTGGACAGATTGCTGAATCACCCATGATGGTGCATGGCATGTCCTTGATAAAAATTTATCACTGGCCAACTTGGCCCAGGGCCAGGATTCCAAGACATAGAGGCTTTTTAGGTAGGTGGTAGGGTGGATGTCCTGCATTCAGCTGTCCTGGCCTAGGAAGGGAGGTGATAAAATTTTATCCAACAGATTTTGGGTTGTCACATGCATGCCCCCCAGAACCTGCTGTAGGTGGGGGCATGAGGTGTAGGTGGGGGTGTGAGGGATTGGATATCCGACGGATTTTATACATCCGGCGGATTGGAAATATCCGACGGATTTGTGTAAAACTGACATCCGGCGGATTTGTTGCACCCATGTGTTTTGGATCTACATTGGGTTCTGAGGTGCTGCTGCTGTGGTGCTGGCAGGTGTGGGCCTGGGCTCCTGGTAGCTTTCCAGTTTTGTTGTGAGTTCATTTGTTGTGAAACCTTTTGTTGGAAGAAGATTTCTCTTTTGTTGGAAGATTCTTTTTTGCCCTCCAGTTTTTCAATCGCCGGCAGTAGATTGTAGAAGGCTTTCATGTCTTGAGTTTGTTGCTGCATAGCTGTGAAGGGCATGTAAGATCTTATTAACCAGAATGTCTATTATATATATATATGTATTTTTCTTCATGGTGTATACCTGACCTATCATAGGAAATGGAGTTGTGCAAAAGCACACCATCCCGCACATGAATTTTCACAAGGGCTGGAATCATCCAGAGGTGCAAACTGTTGCTCAGGAATTTGAATCCAAGAGCTGGTTTGCTAGCTTGTCTCTGCGTGATGGTGGAAGGCCAGCCAAATGTGTGACCAACTGGGTGTTGCAATCCAGAAACAATAGTTGATCGTTGATCAGTTAGTCCTTCCTTTCCATATCGCGATCAGCTAGTGAAACAAACGATGGACCAACTGCTGTTGACAAACACAAAACCCACTGCTTGCTCTCAGTTCATTTTCTTTTGCGCTTCACACCACAGCCTTTTCCAAACAGCATCAAACTCATACTTCGTGGATTCCTCTGTGCTGTCTATTGCTGCTGAAGATTGCTGAAGCCATCATGGCCACCTTCTCCTTCCCAGATCCTGACAGACGCCGCCTGCTCATGTCTGAGGGTGAAGTTCCTGAGGTGAACCAGGCCTATGCAAAATCAGAACCAGATGGCACTATGAAGGGGGAAAGCCCGAAGCACAACACTGATGCTTCATCACATACAACTATCGACTATGCGTTTCAGTCCGGCATTTTCCTAGATGATACTTCATCAAGCGCTCAGCAAGAGTTCAAAGATCAGATTTTGAAATCTTTGGCAGGGTTGTTGCAAAAGTACGGATCAGTTTCCAAGTTCTTGTCATCACGTTTTGGCAGTCAATCAGAAGCACAGCTCTTTGTCCAGCACTTGCATGAAGTTTGCAGGGCAGGGCATCCTGTGCACCATGTCCAACATGAGAAGCTTCCTGCTTTGCAAGCTGAGGGATCTGGAAGCTTGACAAAGTCAGAGGTTTTGCAGTTGCCCTTGGCTGCCTTTAGCTTTGGGCCACATTGCAGTGTCAAGTCAGAGCCAGATCACAGTTCATTCTTGGATTTGGCTGAATCCATTTTGACAGAGGGCTTCATATCCAAGACAGAGCCGGTTGTCTGCATGCAGTCTGGAGAGGTCATTCAGGATGCTGCGGAAGTTGGTACTACTGCTCCATGGACAGGTTCTTTGATTCCATTTTCAGTGGGATTTACCAAAGGGCGCTCTCGAGTCCATGCTTTGTTGGCCATTCTATCACTCACCATGGACAACAAGATTGACCTCCAGCAGGCCAGAGATTTCACATTCTGGCCTTCAAACCATTCTTCACGGTTACAACCATTCTTGTTAGTAGTGGAGTCTTAGCAACAAATGTCTCAATTACCCCTTGCCTATCCTGTGTGGGGTCCTTTTGCAGCCCTGGAGGTCAATGAAACCTTGGCATCTTCAATTGCTTCGATCCATGCGGTGGTGCTGGAGCACTCCTCTAAGCAGCAGGAACTCTTGTACAACTTCAGGGCTTCCAACCGAGGGTCTTTGTGCAAGCCGCCTTCCATCCTGACGTGGGTGCAGAGTGTGAAACTTTTGAAGGCTCAAGGTGTTACTCTTGACCTTGTTCAAGTGATCAAGAAATTCAACACAGGCACAGTGGGCAAGCTTCAGCTGGTAGGCGCAAAAGCTGTCGCTGTGAAAAACCTCTTGGAGGTCATGCCAGAGGATGCATTGCGAGTGATTGAGGCCCACTGTCAGAAACTTGGCTGGCAGGGCTGTGTCTTTAGCGATGATGCTCTAGGGTCCAAGAAGACTCTGCCCACATACAACTTCAGGCACAATGTTGGAGGTATGTGGGCAAAGTTGGGCAAGATGTCGCCGGAACAACTTTGCTGCTTTTCAAGCATGTGACCACCGTTTTTGAGCAAGAGCCTGCAGGAGCACGACGCAAGCTGACAAAAGGTGAGCCGGAAGAGAAGGCTGAAGAAGCAGCTTTTGTTGTGAACCTGGGCCTTCTTGCCCAGCAGGAAGTTCCATTCCCAGATGACATGTTGATGTCCTACTGGCTAGAACCCTATGCCACCGGAGAGACAAGTGTGGCCCTCGAGGTTCAGTGTGCGATGGGCCACAAAGACCCCAAGCTTACTCCACGTGGGATTTCGAAGTTGGCTGCAGCGTGCAGGGCTCAGTTATACATTATTGTTGTTTTCTCTTCTTATTTTTTTGTCTCTCTTTTTTTTTCTTTCTCTCTCCTCCTTTACTGCAAGTTTCTTTATATTGTGTCTTTTTCATCCTCTTGACTCTTGTTTCTTCTCATTATCGTTCCTTTTTTTGTTCTGGTTCTGCAATCTGCTGATTCTTCTTCAATTATTATTCTGATTCTTCTTCTTTTGTAATTTTCCACTTGGATTGGCCTCAAAAAAAGACCCCCACAAGTCCGTTTCGACCTGCTTGAAATGCAGGTTTTGAAGGGGAAAAACCGGACTTGTGGGGGTCTTTTTTCACAGGCCAATCCAAGTGGAAAATTAGCATTCTTCTTTGTTTTTTCTTTGTGTTTTTCATGTTCACTTATTCTTATTATTCTTCTTCTTCCTATTGTGTCTGTCTTCTTCTTCATCTCTTTTTCACTTGTTCTTTCTAGTTTCTGCCTCTTGCCCCTTCTCCTTCTTTCTTCTTTGGCTTGTTGCTGTTGCTTTTGCTTATGTGGTTTTTGTTACTTTGCAGTCGTATGATTGGAAGAAGCCTTCTTGTAGAGACATATGCTACCAATTACATAGTTGCAATTATATGGATAATGCATTTGCCCTTGATTCCTCATGGTGCAACTTTGCTTGACATTGAATAGATAGTGAGAAGCTCTGCCAGGATGGATGCCCATGCGACCAATCGGCCCATTGCTGAGTCGGGGAGTCTCTTCAAGTTGCCAACCTTGAGGCTGATGCGTTCCAACTCGTGAAGCAGAGGGTTGACTATGACCTTCGGTGCCTAGCCATTTTCCGTGGGAAGTTGAGCTCCCATGAGAGTGCTCTTCATCATGCTCAGTTGACCCACAGGAAGCAAGCCTTTGAAGCTTCGCTGGCAGCTGCCAAGAAGTTGCTGGCTTCAAATGTCAAGATGCTGCAAGGAACTCGCTTTGATGTTGTTCTTCGAGACTTCAGCAACTTCAGCGACCAGTTTTGCAAGACGTTTGGCTTGCAGAAGGAATCCACAGTAGCTTGGCATAAATCCAGCAAGGTAATTTCTGAAGGTTTGGAAATTTGAGGATGTATGTTTTTGATTCAGTTTCATGGAATGAATGGGTTTGCTTTGAGACTAGGTGGCGATTTCTTTGCTGAATTGGGCATCGATCTGCCGTGTGAATCAAGATCGCCAGCTTTGCCAAACCCGCCTTCTGGCAATGCTCCTCAACGGAGATAGTGGCTTGAACCACTTGTCCATGGTCATCCTCCCGCAATTTGGCTATCAAAAAGGCCAACTTTGGGTAGCTGAACATCACTGTTTGAAGAGCTTGTCGAATGCAGGGCTCAACGTCGACAAGACGTTTACCCTGCAGTTTTCAGCCCGACTAGATCAACGTGACACCAGACCTTTGAACTACCATGGGAGGATTTTGACTTCTTTGGGGATGCAGGAAAAGAGTTGGTTGTTCAGGAATTCAGCACTGGTTCGGAATCAGCGCACTGAACCGGCTGATCAGCTCCCTTCAAACCAGATGGTTTTCATTGAAGACCTTCAGCCTGACGCAGTCCCGGTGACCACCGACATTGATGGCTTGGTGGCTGGAGCAAAAAAGTTCGAGCAACTCGGCCCAGCAGCCTACAAACGTGTGCTGGAGGCAGCTTTGGATGGCGTTACACTTCCACCCAAGGCTGGCATCATTGTCTTGGACGCTTCCTTGACAGTTGGAGATTCATTCGAGGCATTTATGCAGATCAGGCATGACTGGCAGGTCCCTTCAGCCTATGTAGGACTTTGCGAAGACCCTGTCAGCTTGGAGTGGTTTGAGAAGACACGCACCCAGGCCCTGGCCAAGCAACACCTTGAAGGAACTGTTTCAGTGCCTGGGTGTGTTCGCATGCCTGCTGAATTGCCACAGGAACATCGACAAGCTGCACCTGCGCCGCCTGTCTTGAATCTCTTGGTTGGTGGAGGCCCTGACAAGTCCTACCCGATCTTCCCAGAAGCGTTGGTGAAGGACCTTGCCATGTGTTACCAAGCTCAAAAACTAGTATGTTCCAATTTTTTAAGTAAAGCTTGGCTGATCAGCATCAGTAAAGTAACTTACCCAATCCTATGGAAGAAACATGGAGTCACAAAGGGCTGTTCATATGCAGGTCCATGAGGTTCACATGGAGTCAGAAGACAAACCAAAGAAAGCCATTGCAGCAATATCTGTAACACACATTAAAAAGGTTATTAGGCAGGTAGTATATATATATATATTTGTATATTTTTTTGCTGCCTATGTTACAACAAGTAACTCAAGTCATTTGAACTATTGATTACCGCATCAGTTCTCATCACTGCATCTTGTCATTTACCATCTCCTGCTTTCCATGAGTGGGGCACTCACCCAACGTTTGGTGAAGAGTTCCGGTCCATCCTCGACCGAGTGACTGAGGAGCTCGGGCCCATCCCTGAGGAAAAGCCTCAGGATGATCAGAAGAAGCGGAAGCTCAACGCCAACAACGAGAGAGCTGGCAGTGGCAAGAAGGCTCGGGCAGCATTTGGGGTTGCTAAGTTGCAGGCAATCCCAGTGGAAGACATTGGCACTGAGCATCAGCTTCTGGATGTGGACATGAAGAACACCACAGCCAAGGGCCTCAAATTCATGGTCAAGATTGGAGGGAAGAAGTACATTGTAAACCATGGCACTGCGGTGGCTACCCTCAATGCTGGGCACATCATTGCCGGGTTCGGGAAGGGAGGCTACAAAAAGCTTTCTGCGCACGATGGGGCATCAGAGAAAGGGTTGGTCTATCACTTGACACCAACTTCACAGGTCTTGAGCAATGGCACCCTTCACAACCTGAAGGACTTCTTGGCTGCCAAGCGAGCCCAGGAACCAAACAAAGGTATTGCTTATCACACCGTGACTGACACCGGCAATGCCAGTGACCCAAGTGCTATTGAGCTTGCCTTGGATGTCCGCGTGGAGTTTGCCCCCCAGGCAAATGTGAAAGCTGAAGACATCAAGTCTGAGGAAAGCATGGCCAAAGTTGGAGCAGACCAGCTCTCAGCTGCCAATTTGGTGCCTCATGATGGGTGGGACCAGCCGGAGTTGTGTGGCTTGGTTTGGTGTGTCCGTTGGGCACCACAGGGCCTGATGCCCATCAGGCCTGTCATCGCGTTGAAGCAAGAGGTTCAGATCCAGCCTGGCACAGGCATTTTGCTGTGAGCGCTTCTCAGTGAGATTGTGAGCACCTGTAGATTCCTGTGGGTTTGAATCTTCAGCTCACTCTTAGCTGGGTATCATCCAAAGGTTATCAGTGACTCGATTCGCTTTTGTACAGACTGCCATGTGCACGCACCATTACACTGTAATCCATTGCACAGCCAATATACCTGTAGGATCGAGAAAGCTGAAAGGAGAAAACACAGTGGCATGTTTTTTGGTGTTGAATCCCATTCGATTTGGATTGTCTAATCGCTTGAGAAGTTCCCACCTTATCTGTTCCTGTCATTTGTTGCGCATGGAGGTGCCTCATCATGATGTCCAGCCACAGCAGGCCTCTGCGACACTTAAATCACAGCATGTGACATCGCGCTTAGCGTTGATCATTTCTGTCAAGAAGAGACTCTGTAGTTGTCAAGCTTTGGTCACTCTTGTTAAGGATGGTAGACAGTTGCATTTTCTAGGATGACCGTCTTCAAGTGGTAGATGTTGGTCAGTTTGTATCAATGATAGGTTTCTGTGGTTTAGTTTCAGAGTGAAGTGTTTTGTAACCCTGGGCCCTGTTTTTCAGTCCTTTGACGATCACACCTGTGCTTGCCAGGCGCAGCCCATTTGTTGAGGAAGCTGTTTTAGATGGCGTGACACAGGTGTCAAGCCAGGGAAAAGCAATGCGTCTATTGAAACATTGTTCAGACCTTTAACTTTCACCAAAAGCTTCTAAGGGCTGTTGGAGTTATAGACATAGCAGCCTTTGCCCACAATTGGGGCACAAACGCCATGATGCATCAATGGATTGTTGGCATGCAGGGCAGCAAGGTGGGGTGACACTGACACCACTGCTCAAATTTTTTGGTGAAAAATGGTCAGGCTCAGCGCTAATCCCATCCACCAAGGGGGAAATGACATTCTTCATTGCAGCGCGTTGCCGTTCAAGGGTTGGGACATCATAGATATCATCCAGGGTCCGGCCGCTTGTCCCAGTAATGGCTGACACTATGCAGGTACTGACTTGCAAGGTCTTCAAAAGGGTGACAATGGTCTTTTTCATTGAATAAGTGCCGACTTTGCCCAAGTCCAGGTTCTCACAAGGATGATCAACACCATTCTCACGATCTGCTTTCCTTTCCCTGGTCAAAACTTTGCAAGCCTCCTGCAGCGCTTCTAGATAGGCTCTTTCTGTGATGGGTTTTGACCAATTCCTTTTGTTTTTTCCTCCAAGTGTTCGACCAGGGAAAAGTAGTTTGTCTTCCCCAGAATCAAAAGCACCTTGTAGGTCTTGCCCATCAAAAGGCCACTGGCAGTCCAATCCTACTAGTGGGTCAGTAGTCATCCATTGCCACAGAAGTTTGGCAAAAGAGCGATCCAAAGGTACTGCTCTCTGTTGTGTCTTGCGATTGACTCTTGGGATGTTACATGTTGGCATTCCTGATGAATCAGGAGCAAGGTTCACAAACCAGGATGCGCAGGCTTGGCGGGCAGCGTCAGCTCTTTCACCAAGAGCAATTTGCAAGACCATGAGGACGGCTGCCCACGGTCGGTGACAGCTCTGCACTAAAGTGGGAAAGAAGCGTTGAGTTTGTCCAGCGGTCAAAGGCTCACGGCCACCTCTTTTTTCTTTAACTTCTGGATTCTGGCATTTCTGTAGATGGCGGGAAGAGCAAAATCTCACTGTCTTGCAATGAGAGCGTAATGCACGACAAGCACTTAGGTTCACTTTCTTGATGGGTAAGATGAAAGACTTGTTCTTGACGTCACAGTGGCCTTTACAATTCTTCCATGCACACTGCAACTTCACTTTGCTGCCTTGAACTCGTAGTGGCCCACGTTTGGGGTCTTTGGCTTTCCGACACAGCGGCTTCTGCTTGGCGACCATTGCTGATGTTCTATGTGTGGGTGTTGCTGCCACATCCAGTTCTCAGACTTTCTACTGCAGAAACCTTCCAAATTGTTCTGTAAATGATAAACTTTTGGTGTGAAGCTTGAAGTTTGGTAGACTGAGACATAGAAACAAGACTTTCTTGCCAGACTTTGAGCCAAAGTCTTGTTTTTTGGTGTGTTTCCCCTGCGTTTGGGCACTTCTGAAAGCACTTCTGCAAAGCCGGTGGAAACAGAAGTGAGGATGCCTTGTTCATATAGATACCTCTTTTTCTATTACACTATATGTAGCAAAACTCTTTTCCTTACTTCCTCTTGCTTTGTTTCTTGCTTTGTCACTTTCCCCTTGTCCTTGTCTCTTCTCTCTTTCTCTTTCTCTTCCTTTTCCTCTTCTTCTTTCTCTTTATCTGTTTCCTTTGTCTGTCTCTATCTCTCTCTCTCTATCTCTCTCTCTCTCTCTCTTTCTCTTTCTCTTTGTCCCTCTCTCTCTCTCTCTCTTTTCTCTTTCTTGTTTTCCTTCTTTCTTCCTTTGTCTCTTTCTCTCTCGCTCTCTCTCTCTCTCTCTCTCTTTTTTGTGCCCACCCCCCAACAAAAAGACGCGCACAACATAAGTGAGATGCCCCCCAACACCAAAAAAACATACAACGCAAAAGACAAGTCCTTAGAGAGAGGTCCAACAGACAATGCTTGGACACGAGTTGAATGCAGTCACTCTGTGAAAACAAGCGGCTTTTCTCAGTCTTGAGCCAAATGTTAGAGAGAGGTCCAACAGACAATGCTTGGACACGAGTTGAATGCAGTC